TTCCAAAACCTCAAAAGATCCCACGTACCGCGGACTCAGCTTCCTTTTCTTACCGAACCTGGATAGTCCTCTCATGGGCGATACATTAAGAAATATGTGATCCCCTACTTGAAACTCCAGAGGTCTTCGCCTTTTGTCTGCATAACTCTTTTGACGGCTCTGAGCTGTTTTCAACCTTTCACGAATCACCTTAACAGCCTCAACCGACTGTTGAACTAACTCTGGCCCGGTGATACTCCTTTCTCCCACTTCATCCCAACATACGGGTGTTCGACAAGCCCTGCCATACAGCACTTCAAAGGGCGCCATTCCAATACTCTGCTGAAAACTGTTATTATACTCGAATTCCATTAAGGGCAATTGTTCTTCCAACTTACCTTGAATGTCCAACTTGGATCCTAAAGCCGTCTGCAGACCTTTCCAAAAACTGGTAGTAAACCGAGGATCACGATCTGAGGTAATAGTCATCGGTACCCCATGTAAACGAACTATTTGCTACACGTACAATTCAGCATATCGATCTAATGCGAAGTCCTTTTGCACAGCCAAGAAGTGTGTCGACTTGGTCAATCTGTCGATAATCACCCAAATAGCATCATGGCCTCTTTGGCTCCTTGGCAATCCCGTCACAAAATCCATAGTTATATGCTCCCATTTCCACTCTGGAATTTCCAAGGGTCGCAATAATCCTCCAGGTTTATAATATTGTGCCTTCACCTGCTGGCACGTCAAACATTTGGCCACATGCTTAACGATAACCGCCTTCATACCGTTCCGCCAATAATATTGCCTCAAATTTCAATACATTTTAGTACTGCTTGGGTGGATACTATAACTGCTACGATGCGCTTCTGATAAAATTTCTTCCTTAATTTTCGCATCATCAGGCACGCATAATCATCCTCGGAACTTCAATATCCTGTCTTTAGATACCTAGAAATCCGGCTTTCTCTTGGCCTCCTCCATCTCTAAAATTCTTTGAATCTCTGGGTCCGTAGACTGCAACATTTTAATCTTAGCCTGAATCTCCAATTCAATCCTAAGCGTAGCCAACAAGCTCGAGACTTGACTTATTTCGAATCTAAACTCCGAGTCTCGCACTTTTTCTAACAATGTCCATTCCTTGACCATCAAATAGGCGATGCTCGACTTCCGACTCAAAGCATCGGCCACCCGGTTAGCTTTTCTGGGATGATATAATATATCACAATCGTAGTCCTTCAGCAACTCCATCCACCGACGCTGCCTCATATTTAATTCTTTTTTAGAAAACAGATATTTGAGGCTCTGATGGTCAGTATAAATCTGAAATTTTTCTCCACATAAATAATGTCGCCAAATCTTTAGGGCGAATACAATTGCGACTAATTCCAAATCATGTGTCGGGTAATTCAACTCATGCGGTCTTAACTGTCTCGACGCGTAGGCCACTACTTGTCCATTTTGTATGAGTACGCACCCCAATCCTTTCAACTACGCATCACTGTAAATTTCATATCCTCCGGGTCCTAATGAAATAGTCAACACTGGTGCTATCGTCAACCTATACTTTAATTCTTGAAAACTCCTCACATTTATCAGTCCATTCAAATTTTATTTCCTTTTTCAACAAATGCGTCAACGATGTTGCTATCGTCGAAAATCCTTTCATGAAACGACGATAATATCCAGCCAAGCCCAGAAAACTTCGAACCTATGTTACCGTCGTCGGTCTAGGCAATTTCATTACTGCTTCAATTTTCGATGGGTCCACTGAAATTCCTTCCCCAGAAATCACATGTCCGAGAAATGCTACTCGACTGAGCCAAAATTCACACTTGCTAAACTTAGTATACAGCGTGTTCTCTCTTAACGTCTGCAACACTCGACTTAAGTGAAATTCATGCTCCTCTAGGCTCTTCGAGTACACCAATATATTATCTATAAAAAAACGATCACAAACTGATCTAAGAAATTCCTTAAACACCCGATTCATTAGATCCATAAAGGCAGCAGGGGCGTTTGTCAATCCGAACGGCATTACCGTAAATTCATAATGTCCATATCTCGTCCTAAATACCGTCTTCGGTATATCCTCCTTCCTAATCATCAACTGATGATATCCCGTTCTCAAATCAATCTTGGAGAACACCGAAGCCCCTTGTAACTGATCAAACAAATCATCAATCCTCGGTAAGGGATATTTATTTTTTTATCATCACCTGATTCAACTGCCTATAATTGATACATAGCCTTAGTGATCCATCTTTCTTCCTCACAAACAAAACCGGCGCTCCCCACGGAGACGCATTCGGACGAATAAATCCCTTGTCTAGCAACTCTTGCATTTGCAGCTTTAATTCCTTTAATTCCGACAGTGACATTCTATAAGGTGCCTTCGAGATTCGCTCAGTTCCAGGTGCCAACTTTATCACAAACTCTACTTCTCTTTCCAGCGGTAATCCCGGCAATTCCTGAGGAAACACATCGGGATACTCGTACACCACAGTTATATCCTCTAACCACGGCTTTTTAGCCGTCGAATCAACTACTACTGCTAGAAATCTTTGACACCCTTCGTTCAATAACTTCATCATTTCCAACGACGAAATCCATGGAATCAATGGTCTTCCCCGACTTCCTACAAACTTGAATTCCGGATGTCCAACAGGATTAAATTGGATCACCCTGTTATTGCAATCCATTATGGCCCTCTGCTTAGACAGCCAGTTCATACCCACTATCACATTGAAATCGTACATGGCTAGAACCGCTAAATCAATCATTTCCTCCCTTTCCCCAATTACAATCTTACAATTCGGACACCCCAATGAAACCAGCATCTTATCATTTAAGGGAGTCGTCACGCATAGCACAACATCAAGCAGTTGCGGTTCTATTCCAATTAACTCAACAAACTACTTAGATATGAAAGAATGTGACGCCCCATAGTCAAATAAAGCATACGCAGTATGGCTGCACAGAGAAATCGTACCTGTGACAACCCCTGCCGCGTTCTCGGCCTCTCTTCTGGCCATAGCATAAACTTGTCATTGTGCCTGTGGCCTATTCTGATTGGCTATCTGGGCCGCTCCGGTCTGATTTCCGTTCCTGGGTGGCGGCAATGCAGGCGATCTATTCTGCCTGAGATTGGGGCAATACCTCACATGATGACCAAATCCGCCACACCCAAAACATGCTCCACCCCGGGTTGGAGAAGGTCCATTTCCATGCCTTTCGCCACATACTCTACATGGACCATTCTGATTTCGGACCGGCTTCTCGATATTTCTTCTAATAGGAGGGACAAAGCGTCTATTACTCGTCATCGGCCTCTTCCCGAGATTATGATTGTCCCTTCTCGGGGTAAACCTCGATCCAGAAGCTGCGGTCCTATCCACCTGATCACGCTCAAGGACTTGAGCCATGTCAAATATCTCCTCGTAAGTCCTCAGGTTTGCCAGTAATAACTAGCTGCGAATGTCAGCTCTCAGTCCATCTCGAAATCTTCGCGCCTTATCATCGGGATGCCCCACCATTCTCGGTGAAAATTTAGACAATCTCACAAATTCTGCCTCATATTGATCTACTGTCATCTGGCCTTGGCGGAGTCTCATAAACTCAGCTAGTTTTCTTTCTCTAGCGCTGGCCAAGAAATATTTCTCATAAAAACTCTTAGTAAAAGCAGTCCAAGTTCGGGCAGTACCTTCCGAAAATATTCTATCCCTAGTGGCCTTCTACCAATCATTCGCGTTATTCTGCAACTGGTATACTGCCTGAGTTACCTTCTCATTATCGGTACACTCTAATACCTCAAAAGTTTTCTCAAGTTCCTCTACCCATCGAGGTGCAGCCTCAGGGTCACCTTTCCCAGAAAACTTAGGCGGTTTTAGCTTCATAAATCGCTCTACCAGTTGGTGCATTGCCCTATTCACATTAATTTGCCCCTACCCTTGGTTCCCATTATTATTATTAGCAGCAGCGGCCTCGGCAGCTTGGGCAATTGTAGCAGCTCGCTCCTGAGTCTGCTGTCCTATTATGTTACCAATCTGCTCTAGGGTCCTCATGACCGCTTCCATTCTAGGGTCCTCTGCAGGTCTAACATCGACTCGAGGGTCCACTGCAGCTTCAGCACCAACTCTAGGATTATCTATTGCTCTAACACCCATTCCGATGTCCTCTATAACTCTAGCTCAAGCACGACCTCCACCTCTTGTTCCTCTTCCTGCGCCCCTTCTTGGGACTCTTCCTACACCTCTTCCTTCGCTGCTCATTGTATCAGCTTCTTATCATTCTCCTACCTGCTATAATTCCACTCAGGAATTAGTAACCTAGGTCAACTAGATCAGTCTAGTTCTAGGCAGTGAATTTAATGCAAAGATTCACTTAGTAGGCAATCCAATAATACAAACGCGAGGCCACAATCAATAGGGTCTGAACACTTACCTTAGGTCCAGACGCACCTGCATTCAGTCATTGCAACAAACAACTCACTCAATCAATCACAACAAACAATCTGGAGGCATATGCAGCTTATTCCGCTCTATAACTGACTAAGGTCTCCCTAAATTGTTATCCCAGGGTCTCTACTCCTTATCACTCCAACTTCGACCAGTTTAGATCGAGCTAACCTTGCTCTGATACAAATTCAAACGGAGATGTCACGCCCCTAACCCCAATCCTGTTATAGACACCCTCCACTAGTCAGTTTATGCGACGTCCCAGGTTATCGTCGACCTCACTTACCCCATCTCAGAGATTTAAATCAACAGTGGAAACTACAAATACCCGGACAATTGGAACTGGGATAATTAGGGAGAATATACATATTCATTTCTGATTACCAAACTTATACAATATTCACCATTTACAAAACCACCAAATATAAAAACACATCAAACTACGAACCGCTGTTATACGTATGCATACCGTACTATAACCATCGATATCAAAAAGATCGATGACCTGGCACTCCATCCACAAAAATGATACACCTCCAAAACTTATTATTAGCCCCTACGCTAGCCTCTACGACCCTTGCTTGGCGTCCATTTCGAGTCTGATTCTTCGTCCTCTGAATCTGAATTCGCCTGATCAGACTGTTCCTCCAAGGACTCCGACTCTGCCTCAATCTCGATCGGGTGGTTTATATCACCCGATTCAGCTGGAACTTTGTCTTGATCCTCCTCAGCCGGCTCCTCAAAGAAACCATCCTCGGGCACGAAATTAGGGTCCATCCACTGCTTAAAAGGGAGTATATACTTGGGTTCTTCCTCAGGCTCTGCGGACTCAGCAGGCTCATCTTCGGGTTCTGCCTCGGGTTCCTCCTCTTCCGGCCTCTCCTCTAGGATCGGCTCTAGATCCACATCCATCGAATCGTCTCCCGCTAAAGACCCTTCCGGCTCCGGCTTGTTCTCAGCCCCTGAAGATCCCTGTGCCGTAGGTGCTGGATGCAATCCCGATTGCGCCAGACTAGTTTCTGCACTAGTCAACTCGCCGTCAGGAGGGGGTACGGCAGTCGGGTCCCAGTCCCCAACCAAATAAAAAAAAAACACCAAAATCTCGAACGGGACCGAACTCATCTACTCCGTCCCTAAAGAACCATGCGGTATATACATGGGGCTCCCACAAGGGTAATCCTACGTCTACAAAAACGATAGTAGTGTGCTTAATCCAGGTCATATTATCAACCATGGGAAACTCTGTAATCTCCTGTTCGGTGTGTACCGGTACTCCAAAACGCTCAGGTGGCGGTGGCGGGAGATTCATTGTTCCTGCCGGGGTTCTGAAATATTCGGTTGAAACAACCGTGAGATTACATCTCAGTAAGTACACCCTTAAACCCCACCTAGGCTATCACGTACCTCCAGACAATCACAAACACAATCACACATTCAAACATCGCATAACAGGCACACAATCGGTACTTACTTGGCATTCCCAGCGTGTAACCTGCACATTATCCATAATACTATATTTTTCAATCACATGCATGTTCGAATCCCAAGCCACGCATTCACGCTTGTTTCATCATATCCTTTTCCACACTACTCGCCAGTGACCCGCGTAATGAAACCGCCTCAGGTACACTGCGATCATCCCATATACACAACATTCCTGGGCCCGCGTAATGATATCGCCTCAGGCCATGTATCTTGCCCGCGTAGTGGTACCGCCTCAAGCTCAACATCCATTCTCGCAGTGTACAACTCGCGTAATGGTACCGCCTCAGGTTGGCTATATTTCTAGCACTCCTCGGCCCGCGTAATGGTGCCGCCTCAGGCCATGTATGTTGCCTGCGTAGTCGTATCGCCTCAGGCTTAACACCTACCACCTACGACACAACCCGCGTAATGGTACCGCCTCAGGTTGGTCGTCCTCCGGTAATACCGGGCATCGTCCCGCGTAATCGTACCACCTCAGGACGGAAATATTCCCACGATCGCACATACCACACTACTCACAATTCCTTGTTCGTTCACACACTTAGTACTTGCATGACAATACATTGGCTAATCACACGTGGCCCGTGCACACAACAATTCACACATAATTTCATGCTCATTCACGGCCAATTGACAATTAATTCAATCTAGCCCAGGCATGCACATAAGCAAGCACATTTCAACCAATCAATTGCACACCAATGCACCCAATTTTACCATCACAATTCAATCACAATACAAACACACCATCAACACACAAATCGGCAATTTTCTATACCCAAACCACGCCAAATCAGTTCCGGCTCTTGACGACATTTTCCCGCAATTAATCGCCGGTTCTAAATATCCAATTTACAAACCAAACCGAGCATCACAGCCCACTAATCAACCATCCACAGCCCACTTCCGACCTCGAAATTTCCATCAAAACTTCCTGAATTCAATCCTAGGCCCGCTAATCGATTCCACTCCTAAATCGTACAATTCCGCACCCAAATAATCCCGATTTCACCCAAAAATTATCCTTCGATACCCGATGTCTTAACTAAGGTTTAGAGCGCGACTTACCGGACTCTAGACTAAAGCGGCTAGAGCGAAAAGCGGCGGCGATCGACGAGGACGGCGGCGAACGGCGAGCGGCTTGGCGGCTTGGGGCGGATGGCGTACGGCGGCGGCGACGGCTTCCTTGCTGTGGGTCACGATCACGGGGAAGGAGAGAGAGAAGGAGTGGAATGGCGGGTGAGGCTGGCGGTGTTGCGGCGGCGCGGGCGACGCGGCACAGCGGGCGGTGGCCGGACGGCAGCGGTGCGGCGTACGGGCGAGAGGGGGCGGCTGGTCCGGTCGGTGAGGGAGAGAGAGAGGCCGAATGAGAGAGAGAGGAAATGAAGAGAGAGAAAGTGGGTCTTGGACTCAAATAGTGAGATTTTTGACCAAAATGGCAAATGACCATCTTGCCTTTGTTTAATCTTTTTAATCAACTGCCGAGATTTGATTTTATGTTGGAACCGACGGCCAAGATCGGATCTTACCCAAAAATATCCAAGGGTAATTTGGGAATTTCATAAAATTCCAAGGACAAAAATGTCCAACCAAAAAGTTAGGGCAAAATGACCAAAATGCCCCTCCTTCATATAACTTGCCCTTTATAAATTCTTAGGGGTAAAATGGTCACTTTCCTCATTTCTCATCGAAATTGAATTTTTTTGAAGGATTCGGGACAATCCAAAATTGCACGTTTCAACCGCAACGTCATCCTAATGTCCTGTTATGACTTCCAAATTTTCCGATGTCCAATTTGGGCTCAATTAAATAATTAAATTTTATTGAACACAACTCGAGCGTTTCTCAAACTAACGGGCGGCTTGTTGGGGAAATTCGCATATTCAACCCGTGACTGATAATAAATCGAGTTACGTGCAAGTTCATTTGGTTCGCGATGACTTCGGTTGTCATTTAAATTGCGAGGTTCGATCACTAGATCCGAGGGGTACGATCGTTCGGTATAGGTTCAGGATCATTCGTCAATTCGTTTCGTGGTCCGGCGGAATCACTTGTGATCCACTACTATGACAATGGCGAACTGACCCCTGACTATCCTTGGATCGGCCAACAGTGACTCAAAATGTCACCTCGGCGATTTTATGGTCGAAAGTCAATTCACGATCGAATTTTCTCTTAGTCGCACGAAATTTAAATCCCTGATTAGCCTTTCCCTAAAGGTTAGTGTCCTAGGAATGATCAATTCCGGACGAGAACTAACTACGAGTACATTTATAAAATCAAATATTTCACAAATCCCAAATGGATAAATTTTCAGGATGTCACAAGTGGTGTCCTTACACTTCGACTAAAACTATAAAAGAAAATGGATATGTGCATTAGAAGTCCTAAAACTTGTCATAAAAATACAATTGAGTTCTAAAACTTACAAAAATGTGCAATCAAGTCTTAAAACTTTCCAAATTGATTAAATTGAGTCCTAAAGGTTAACTCCGTGTAACTAGGCTAACGGAAATGATGACATGTCTTATTTTATTACTTTCTTGAGACACGTGACGATGATGTGCGCTTGGTGGCTGCCAAGCCCTCGCTTAGCCAGATCTGATAAGGGCGTTGCGGCCCTTGCCTGTGGCCGACGAGGGTCGGCCGGCCACCCTCGCTGGCCCTAACTCTAAAACCAAATAAAAAAAACACACAGAAAAGGAAAAAAAAAAGAAAAAAAACCATAAAAATTTCAAAAAATTATTAAAATATTAGTCAAAAATGTCCACATCAGTGTCACGTGGCCACCCAACGTTCACGTCAGCAATTTCTGACCAAAATTGACCTGATTGACTCAATTGGCAATAAGTGAAAATGTTTATAACTTAATTGGTAAACTTAAAAGGTTTATGACTGAATTGGCAGCAGATGTAATCGGGTAAATATATTTCCATCATTATTTGGAAGAACATACTGCTGAAATGGAAAAACATGTGGGCAAATTAAATAGGTTTAGGATTTTTCGGATAATTTTTTCGAAATTGCTAATGTCAAAAGATTTAGAACTCAATTGCTAAAAATTGAAAAGTTTAATTGAATTGACAATTTGGTATCCGTACCATACATTTTTTCTATTCCCCCTTCACTCTCTCTCCAATGAAGAGGGCTCCTCCATCATGGAAGATGGATGGAGCCGCGGATGGCCTTAGTTGTCTACGTACGATGGAGCGACTCTAAAAATTCACACCAACTCTAAAATTGAAAAAAAAAATGAACATTTTAGGCATCGACTCCTCGCCCCTCCTCATAGTGGAAAACTAATTTGGAATTGGACTTCAATGTTGTAAATAAAAGGGTTGGTTGAGCAATTGTATTTGGAATATGGTCCATAAATAGTAAATTGATCAATTTAAAGGAAAGGTTAATACCAAATCCCAAACCGGTACACTTGTGACAAATTTACTCCCAGCTAATTTTTTTATAATCAAAAACTCTAAACTAGTACACTTGTGACAAATTTATCTTTCATTATGTTGGATTAATATCACAAAAAATCACAAATTGATGAACTTGTGACAAATAAAGAGGTAAAACTCCAAATTGGTATGCATTACCACGTGTCATCTAACTAAACGATTTGTTGGTAAAATTTAACGGAAACAAACATAAGGTAAATTTATCACATATGTATCATTTTAGGGTTATTTGGAGTAAATTTATCATAAATATATCAGTTTGGGATTTTTCGTGATATTAACCTTTAAATGAATATTAGAAGCGATGGTTGCCATCCTGTCGGTAAACTCTGTGGGGTTTATTTAAGCTAAAGGTTGGGATAAATGTTGCCAAACAAAATGACAGACTTCGAAGATAGATTTGTAATCTTATATTTGAATTCACACGCTAGAGACAAGAAGAAACAAGAAAGAAAAAGCAGTGCAAAGGGATTGAAATCGAAATCGAGAAAAATGTAAGAATCCGTTTTTTTAGGACGCAAATGATAACTATTCTGTTTTCCTATTTTTCTATGTTTTTTTCTCAGGAATAGATTTGGAACAGAAATCCGTTTGGTAAAATAATTTCATTTTTTTTATTTCTGAGATAAATTTTGACTTGGAAATATATTTGAAACAGAAATGAGAAGTTAATTTTTTTTACTTTTCTGTTTCTGAAATAGAAACGGAAATAACAATTCTCTTTTATTGCTTACCATTGTCGCCCACCGCCTCACACTTGCTGTTGGCAGCCAGCCATCTGCAGCTGCTCACCGGCAGGTCGTTCACTGCTGCCATCGCCCACTGGCCGGCCACCTGCCACCGCTGCAGCCGCTTGCTGGCCGGCCGTTGTCGCCACCCGTCGCCCCTCACCATCACCTGTTGCTGTCGCCACTCGCCAGTCGCCTACCACCGCAGTCGCTCACTGGCTGGCGGGAATAGAAATTTTGTATTGTTATCAAATAAATTTCTATTTGGGGAAAAAAAAATTTGTGTCGTTATTAAACATTGCTTTTTGCTCAGAAACTCGTCCGGAAAGAAAAATAAAATTTTCAATTTTTAGCCAGAAATAGGGCCGGAGAAGAAAAATGTTTTCATTCGCGCCCTTAAAGTCCCTATGAAGCCGGGAACAGAAAACGAGCTGAAAAGAGAATCACAAGAAATTCTCACATCTACCATTCGTTTTTATTAATGCTGAACTCGAACTTGTAATGGTGAGGATCAAGGCTCACATCCGCCACGTCACCTCTCACCTCGTTCCCATAGCAAAAATCATTCGTTTTATGTCATTATAACGCAAAAATTATCAAAGAAAGTCGTTTACATTCTTGTGCGCGACCCTGCACAAAGTATAGCATGCAAAGACAGAAAGCGACATGCCAAGTATGAAGGCAATCTTAGCCATGTCTGGAGATGAATTTTCACTTCGTAGCTGTGGACACCTGATCCAAACTTCTGTACGAATTAATCAACCAACTATACACAAACACAAAACCAGCAGAAGATACATAGTTGACAAGTTCCATGCCTACTCGAAGATACCCGGCATGGGCACAGAAATTCCGGCCGAACGAAAAGTTCCTTGCAAAGAAATGGCATTTTCCTTCCTGATTCAAGCATCAATCAACTCCTCCCCCTCTGATTCTGTCAAAAGCACCCTGTGAAGAAGGAACAGCATGTGTGACTCAAATACGAAACCCTCTGAAGAGGGAACTCAGAAGCCTACTGAAGAGAGATTTCACAGAATTCTTCTCTTGATCTAGCTCGGTTACTTCAGATGCAAGATTCAATTCACTATTGTGGTCCTCTGATAACAAGCGCAGGGAATTCTTCTCTTGATCTATCTCGGTTACTTCAGATGGGAGATTCAATTCGTTATCGTGGTCCTCCGATAACAAGTTACTGACTACACCTGATGATGAGGGGTGGAATCTCATTGAAATCAGGCTCTCTCTCCCTCCCAGATTTGAAGTATTGGCACCGAAACTGCTTCCATCTTGAACATGATCCGGACTACGGAAACAAGCAATGCCATGAGGACAATCCCATGTCTTTGGAACTTCCTGATCCCTACACAACAGAAGATATGTGCTCATAAAAGATAGTAGTTTGAAAAACATCAATTCGAGTCAGCTCCTGGGGTCATTTATCCAGGGAAGTGAATCTTACAGACTATTGATAAGCCTTCGATCGGAAGTTAGTAAAAAAATATGAGACTTACCCATCAATACATTTCTCGTTGCAGCGACTAATGAAATCGTCTGCATATGTTTTGAACTCGCTGTCAAGATGTTCAACCACTATCATCGCATCGCTTAAGGGCAATACATCCCAAATCTTCAAGATTTGAATGTACCTAAGTTCCTTTAGTATATCGACAGTGCACAGCACGTAGAGACCTTCTACCTCGAATTGCTTCACCATAGGAGAAGAGCTTTTAGGGAGTAAACCCACATCGCTCTTCTTAGGTCTCCAGCCACTGGCAAGTTTTGATATGAGGTTCATGATTGACATCTTGGTCCTAAGTGACGTCAGCTTTCTGAAAGACTTCACAAAGTTGTCCCCGAAGAAAACCTGCATAGACAAAATAGTGGACAAGAAAACGTAATGTCATTGATTCTGCAAAAGTCGAATGTCCATATTTCTAAGAAAAGGAAACCATCTGCAAAGTGCTTTACCCTCCACCGAGCATTTCTAAATAGGTCACTATTTCCACCAAGCGGATCATCGAGCTGAATATTCTCTTTCTTCCCATCCGAAATGGCTTTAACTTCATCAGCACTGGAGGAACATCGTTGGCTCTTAGCATCACTAAAGCACTTAGCCCTCGCCCACGCATTTCTAGATAGTAGACTACTTCCATCGACCGGATCATCAAGCTGATTATTCTTCCCATCCAAAATGGCTTTAACTTCATCGGTATTGGACAAACATTCTCGGCTCTTAGCATCACCAAAGCGCTTTGCCCTCTGCTGTGCATTTCTAGATAGTACACTACTTCCATCGACCGGATCATCAAGCTCATTATTCTTCCCATCCAAAACGGCTATAACATCATCTATGCTGAAGAAACATCCACGGCTCTTAGCATCATGAACCAATGCTTCCCATACAGATTTACTTCTCGACAGCGTTCTCCCGTTTCCCAAAATCCAAAGAGAGTATCTAAATAGAGGCAGCAAAAAGCAGGGATTGTTGGTATATGACATCTTATGGCAAAATTCAAATTGCCCCAGTTAAGAAGGAATAGAAGAGACTACCTTGCCCTGGTGATAGTGGCATTGGTTCTCTTAGTATCAGAAACGAACCCAATAAAACCACGAGGGTTTGATCTCACGGTGGATACTATTATGATGTCTTCTTCACCCCCTTGGAACCCATCCACTGACCTCACTTTTACTGTGAAGCCTTTGACATTTCCATATCTTTTTCCAATTTTCTTTTGTATTGCAGCAACCTGAGCACTATATGGAGATATCACGCCAACACTTAGATCTTCGCCTGAAGATTTGCATGCTGCAGAAAAATCAAGACGATATAATTAGTGAGGGAAAAGTTACGACCACACTAACGTGAAAGTGTTCTGTACACCTCCGATTACTGTCTTACGTGTCCTGTAAGGCTGAGTTAATAACCTAAATGACAAGAACGCACATCATCTCCAGTGTCAAAAAGCATTTAAAGCTATGTAAATCTCTCCCAACATCCCAAGAAACTAAATGGACTTCACTGTAAGATCGAGCAGAAATATTCTTCTCTTGCCGCTTCCGCAGTCAACAACTGCCCGCCCATGCTCTACAACGGTATAGTAATAGGTGCATCCACAGGTATAACCAAACGTGCAAAGACATAGTAGTTATTTGCATTAATTCATACCATCTGGCAGAAAATGAAATTATATGGTGAAATTCTTTCATGGCTTACCTCCGTATAGATTCCTCAAAATCATCGAGACGATTCCTACCTCAACATTGTTTCTAAGGCTATGTCCATCATCCCCACCTTCTTCGGTTCCGTTAGAAATATCTATGAAGGAGTAGGGGCCAAACATTGGCCACGGCAAATGACATTTTACGTAACTTTTGCTGGTAACATTTGACCCATCTTGAATTTGATTTTTGTAAAAGGTGGATGCTGGAAAGCGACTTATCTCAGGATGCATCCTGTACTGGATATTGAGAAGGTGCCTTGGATGGCCCAGAGAACTCAACCTTTCGAATAGACTCCTTCCAAAGCCAGCCTTGCTAGAAAGCTGTAGAATAAAAATATACACAAACTTAAAGGTCAATTAAGCATAAAATAATTCATGTTTATGTATGCTTGTGTTAAAGGTAAATTAAGCATAAAAACTATTTATGTTTATGTATGCTTGTGCACGTTCCTAGACAAATATTCAGCGACAACATACCTTGCTCTCAACCATTGCAGGCAACTGACATTCATCTCCAACTAAAATTGCATGGCTGACACCTTGAAGTTTTAGCGGAATCATTGACTCGGATTCTTTCAACTGTGCAGCCTCATCAATCACCAATAAACTAACAGCCTCCATTCCCATAGTGTAGAGCTTATATGAGCAGGAGGCAGTGCAGAAAATCAAGGAAGCTGCTTGATAACAGAACTCAGCTATCTTGCTCTTACTTGCAAATGTTGCAAGGTTTAGCCTTCTAAGAGATGTGTTAAGAGTTCGCAAAACAGAGAGGCATTCATGTCTCTTCATCAATAATGCTGTATATAGTGGATCTGTGAGAGTTTTTAATGAAGATGGGTCCACTGAAAAAGCTTCCTTCAACTTTCTAGAATCCAACTTCTCTCTACATAGTGAAACTTCAAAAGAATCAAGTAAGATGAGAAGGGACTTAATATCCTGGAAATTTTGATCCAAAAGGTAACTTTTGGATACATGGGTGCATAAGATAGAGAGGCATCTTCGAAGACAATGTGCACTTGACTTGAATCTGTGCTTGAAAAATTCCAGAAATGATTTAAATTCAGGTTTGGATTCATTACCATTAGGCTTCGATATAATCATGCGTTCATTCTCCAGAAAAATGTGGTATTGGTCAACACAGTCATTGAGAGTATCAATCGTGGAAGGTAGACAATGCTGCCAACCTGCGAGTACAGAAAAGCACCGCTCAACACAATCAACGCGATGATCCAAGAATATTTCTTCCATATCTGAATCTAATTTCATCCGATCCTTGTTCCCAAAACATAGTATGTCTCCTAAGTTATAGAGCAAGCGTTCACCATGAGTGTTTGTGCACACCGATTGTTTCACCAGCTGCAAAACACGAGATGCCAATTCCTTGATGGCAACATTTGTTGGAGCACAAACAAGGGTTCTGTGTTTCCTTTTCAAGAGAGTAAAGAGCAGGGCTGCGACAGTTTTGGTCTTCCCTGTCCCTGGAGGACCCTGTATCATTTCGATGGCCGACCTGTGTTTACACTTGATTGTATTGAGACAAGATAGAACAGCTTTTGTCTGGGATTCATTCAGACTATCAAACAAGTTCTTATCGAGACTCTCATGCCCAGAGTCATGACTTTGGGTAATACAGAGATTGCAATCTTTCTCAGCCTGCAAACGAAAATGTTCTCATTTGAAAATTCACTCCCAAATAGCCTAAGTAAAACTTAGAAACTGCGAAAAATTTGTTGATTATGTTCTATCCTTGCACAACCTGCACTAATATTGAGCACAAAGGATCTTGTGATGTATAAACAAGGACTATCTCTAAATCTTGGTCATGCTACTGTGGCATTGAAATTTATGTGAATGCGAGACTCGGGGCAATCTTCTTTTGACTGTTTGGACAAATAACAAGCTAACTCAAAAGCAAATGTTTTTGTTTTTTAATAATCGATGAAGTTTTGTTGCAGCAATAATATGTTTACCGTATACTGTATGGAGATAATAAGTATGAAAATTAAAGTCCTTACCGCTGAATCCGTACAGAGGACTTCCCTTACAACTTTCAAGTTCCCAAATCTGTGTAGCACATTCCATATCCTATTGTTAGTGACTGCATTTATCAAAAAAACTGCATACATTGACTCCCAGGTACGATCATCGTTCACTTCATTGTCCAAAAATGCTCTGACACTGAACATTGTTGACGTTTGAGCATCCCTGTCCTCGTCTTCTGTAATTTTAGTGACCGATGCAAATGCCCATCTTCCTGCAAACCTTTCTAAGCTGGTAATGGTATCCGGCATAGCATTAGTTAAGATCAAAACATCCCCAGGCAAAGTTTTGTAAGGTTCCTTGCCATTGTCAGTGGACCTGTTTCTCCAGTAGTCCACTTCCACGTAGTAAGAATTCTTCTTGCCTTCAACAAACCCAGTGACTTTCGCGAAAGGCAGCTTAGATACATCCTGCATACTTGAACAGAGACTGGCTCGTGTTTCCTCAAGCAAAGGAAAGGTATGAGAAGCAAGGTATTGCTCAACTGATTGAAATGACTCCGGTACGGTCTCCACCTACAAAACGGGTGTATCGAAAATCAAACATGACCAACCAACTTCACTCGATCTATTGAGTGACTCTGTCCTCTGTCGTATCACGGATCGGACACCATATAGCATATTAAAAGAGCAAATATTCCCCCCAACACCTAATAACTTCGCCTCATAGAGACAGAGAGCAAGGTCCTTCACCACTATACAGCAGTCCAACTTCACATAGCAAGGCTCACAAACGAAAAATTGCAAACAAGGAACTAACACCATTTAGAACATTTTCGAGCTAACTTGTATTAAACTTATACTGATGATAGTACGGAAGCATGATCGGAACAACAAACTTAGCCCAAAAAAATGAAGAAAAAAAGAAAGAAAGGAAAGAGACTAAGAAAAGAGAACCTTGTCCCCGTAGAGATTGATATTGAAGATTTCTTCAAGAGACCAAGAGAAGATAATATCAATCAGGTCACTGCGCTTGTCATTCTTCCTGCCAGAACCAGCCTCCGCACCTTTTCTAGAGTCCATGGCCAGTTCCACTCCCTCTTACTTTCCCGTTGAAGAAGACGAATGCGTATGAGAATTTCAAGCAACGAGTGATTGAGAGAGCAAATATATGAAGAAACGAGCAGCTTTTAACACTTGTGAATCAATCCCGTCCGAGACGAGCATTTAAAAAGACGATCGATGAGTGATCGCGGGCAGTGCGAAAAGGAGAGGAGAAATGAAGCCGATAATAACTCGTGAAAAGTCTTGGTCTGCTCGACTTCCGTACAGCATTTGATACCATTTCACCGAAACTTTACATGCTAAGCTTTCTTCTCACGATGCAAGTGGCTTCGCAATACAGGCTTAATTTTCCCATGGTTCCCCACTTACTGCGAATCAAAGCAAGATGTATGCCTTTCCGACCCAAGAAAATGAAAAAGGTAAGGTATGCCTCAAACCTACGCACAATGGTTTGCTTGGGTTAAAGCTTTCTTGCATGCTAAGCTTTTGTCACTGTTACCGGACACACGGCTTTTCCTCATCTGAAACATCTGGTGTCCGACATGTTTGGACCAGCATTGCTTCTTCTAATATGAATGACCACATGTGACATCCTCAATTTCGACTCTATTCAGATGTAACGAAATGATGATTTAATCGACGTACTATTAGTAATTCTCGTTCTGAATTGATCATTTATGAGAGACTAATCGATAGGGAAATGCTATTAAGGAATTAAGTACGCACGACCCGAGAACCCTACCATGGATTGACAATTTGATCATAAGGATTGACGAGGGATAATTTTGAGCCATTATGGACCGATCAAGGAAATGTTATAAAACGCTTTACTAATAATATACAATCGGATTGCGGGTGATTATGCATGACCGTTGTATGTATTGCGAACGGCCCTAAATTAATTCCTAATGATCGCATACTTCGAAACAAGCGATTGACCCCTCGCAATTACATGATAATCGACATCATCCATGGTTCAAGAAAACTTAAACGTTGTTTGATATCGAATCAATCACGGGTCGAATAAGCGTAACTCCTAAAAGCCGCCCATTAGTTTAAGATATACTAAAATCGCAATTAATTGATTTTTACCACGAATTAGAATCTAAATTTGGGTGTCGAAGCTTCGAGGATTTCAAGACTAAATTATTGGATATCGCCTTATTGATTTACTCATTTATCGATTTGCTCGAAATTCTCGGAAAAGGAATTAACAGGCCGAGAATTTGAGCCCACGATGAAGTGGGCCGGACGAAGGCACATTGGGCCTCAAGCCCAATGTGATTCGGTCACTTGGGCCCAAGACAAGCCCAAGTGGACCCAATTCAGCCCATTAAGCCCAATTGCAATTCAAGCCCAAGTTTGAGCCCATTAGCATTTTCAAGTCCATTCCTTATCCGTTTGAGCCCAAACTCGATTTATATGAGTCCGCGCAAAATTCTAGCTCTTATACGTGCATAAATATTTTTATACTTTGTGAAATTACTAAAATACCCTTCTTTGCATTTATGACCAAGAGACAAAGGAGTTTAATGGTGAAGACTTTGGGGGCTTTTGGCATGATGAAGAAGACTTTGGAGGCTTGGCTTGAATGAGAAAAAAAAAATCTCTTTTGTCTCTCCTCACCCCCTCATGCGGCCACTTCTCTCTCTCTCCCTTTCTCTCTCTATTGTCCCACATCTCTCCCTCTTTCTTTCTTTTTCTCAGCTGAACCAGCAGAACAGCCCTTGGCTGCTGCGTTGCCGCAGTTTTTGCTGCCTTGAAGCCATTGGTCACCGCCCCCAAGCTGCCGTGGCCTCTTGTCGCCGTCCATTTTGCCGCTCTCCAAGCCAAAAACGGCACCACCGGTTCTGTGGGCTGCTTTTCAGCCCCGTTCCAGCTTTGTGTCGTCGTCTCGAGTCGATTCCAAACTGTACAACGTGTAGCCCTCGTCGCTGCCAATGTGCCGGTGTCTTCGGAATTTCAATCGGGTGAGTTATCGCCCTATTCCCTTGCTTAGTAGGTTAAACTTAATTAGGGTGGATTAGTTTAAGTCAATTATGTTTAGTACTAATTAATTAAGGATTAGTTGATAAGCTATCACGATAAGTGATAAAGTGGACTCGATAATTTATCGAGAAAATGCAATAAGCTATTGAAGCTTTTGTGATAAGTTATTGTCGATATTGCGATAATCTATCGAGAATTTTATGATAAGCTATCGGATTATTTTAATTATTAATTAAATGAATTTTCGGAATTAAAATATTAATATTTTATTAATTTTTCGGAATTTTAAATATTAAAATTTTATTAATATTTTTGTGGAAATTCCGAAATTAAATTGTGGTTATTTTAGGCTTAAATTGTGATGCCTAAGTTGGATTTTGCCTTATATATTGGTTTGTATGTTGAATTGAATTGATTGATTATTATTAAATATAGAATTGTGGGAATTTAATTAATAAACTTTGAGGTGTTGGGTTTATTTGTTAAGTTTTATGTGAGAAATATGTTGTGGATACTTGAATATAGAAGCATGCTGAGTTTGAGAATTTATTGATATGTGCATAATCACGTGTGATTATTTTAGTGCGTTTTTTACGTGTGGAAGTTGCGATATTTCAACGTATTAGCACGGATCGTGTTTGCATCGGCTATTGAAAATTATAACGATGGAACTTGAGTATTGTTATGTGTGCATGATCACCTAAAGGTTCCTTTGTACCTGGTTCTACCGGATGATCGCCAACCTAGGGTTTGACCGTGATCCTAACAGGTGTCCCCAATTTGGTAATTAGAAGCCGTCACTGGTAGCAGGGGAGACGTTGTCATTTGCGAATCGGATTCGGAATGAACCCATTTATGGGATATGTCATCATTATGGTCGGGTGAGACGATGCCGTGCCCGATGGGGTTGGATGATACCCGGTTATACTGGAAGACCGCCAACCTGATGCGAATATCACGGGTTGTGACGTGCCCCAGGTGTGGTTGTAGTAATCGGAATATGCGTGAAAGATTGTGGTGGCATTGCCCTTGATTATGGGATGAAATTGTGAGGCACGGTATGGAATGGACCAAAGCAGTTTCACCTTATAATCGGGACATATGTGGATGCATTGTGTATGAAAAAGTTGTTGTGTATTCTGATTACATTATATGATTGTTGCATTATGATTGTATATGATGGTTTATAACGTGCAGGGCATGTGTGCCAAGGCAAGGTAAAAATGCCTACAATTGTTTAATGGCACGATGTTTACGCTGGGTTGAGTAGCCTGCTCGTGTGTATAGTTAAGGCAAAGCAAGGATAGCTTTGCTATTGATCTGCTATCGATGTATCGCTGCATGTTTTAGGTACATCCGATATGGGTTGACCTCCTAATCGAGGCTTAGGTCGTTAACTTGTTGAGATTTATCTCACTCGTTATTGTTAACCACTTTTCAGATTCTCCGATATGAGTACACGTTTGGTCTGCTTCGGATTGCTATAACCGAAGTGGTAGTGACCGGTGTTCCTTGGGAACCAGTTGTTTTGAGAGGATACACCTGTTGAGGTTGTCATCGTAGATAGATGAGCTAGGTTAACCTCCTGCCCTTTTGTGATTGTAATCAGGAAGGTCCACGTGGCAGACTTGTAATATATTAACCCGATGTATTGCTGATGATGTTGTTTAAATTGAGATGCGTTTTCTTGACTATCCATGTTGTTGTGATTAGAAGTTTTTAGTTCGCTTCCGCATGCGTTTAATCGTTAGTAATTTGATTGGGTTGGCGACGCGTCTTGAGATATCGCATTTATAATGACCATGGTGGGATGTTAGCGCGCTTGTGGATTCAGGGCGTGACACCACGGGTGCGTACACACGTCTTGATATTAAAGAATGGGTTGTGTTTGACGTCCATGAGCACTGAAATCACTTGAGGGGGACCTAAAATCATAGCCTCCTTAATTAGGTGATCGAGGGGGTATTCATGCATCGAACCGGTGAAGAGTACTGTTGTGTATGGTTATCTGGCTTTTTGGCCCTCGTTAAATACTCCAAAATAAATACTCGGTATTGTACGTAAGATTAAACTTTCGAATTTATTGAATGAAAGTGAATTTTTTTATTATGCCCAGATAATTTTTGACAACTCGGTCTAATGGGTGTCACATAGAGAGATTTGAAGTTCGATTTTTCTGGAGACTTGTGGGGTTATATAGTCATTCTAGCAGGAAAGATTTTCAATAAAAAATTATAAGAGATTCATGAGATTAGTGTTTTTCACATTACTATTTTGGTTATATTGATTATAGTATAACGAGATTTGAACCTGAGCATGTCCTTAAAAAGGCTCAATCTTTAAGGTCCCTCTTTTAGACTTTTAGGAATGTAAAACACAAAAAAGGGGGACATTCATGTCACTCCACAGGAAGAAAAAATATTCTTGGGAAGGATAGGGAGTGGAAGGTAGACCTAATCATTCTTTCTTGGTGAGGTAAACCTAATCATACGAGATAGACATATAATTCGTTTTCCATCATTTGCGATCATCAATGTGGAATTTTTGAAAAAGAAGTAGTTTTTTTTTTTGGGGTCGAAGAAAAAGAAAGTGTTTGAGGAATGCTCTAGTTTACTTTACGCATGGTAGGGAGCCAACACCTAAAGCGTCCATCATTCCCTTCCAACCGCACCACCTTCCAATGTATTTCTACATTGTTCTTTTTTTTTTTTTTTGGCCTTGTTTTGGGTTTGCAGATATATATATATATATATATATATATATATATATATATATATATATATATATATATATATATATGTACACAGGTACGTTCAGCGAGCAGGTCGTCGTTTTGCGGGCGGTGAAATCATCGGCTCCTCCGTCGACCGGAGACAGGGGGCGACCGCCGCCGATGGCAGGTCACCCACTAGTCCGCTAAAGGCCAAGAGCCGTACAGCGGGATCCCTTTGAGCCAACAGCCACTCTGGATTTGAAAAACGAAACAATGGTCATTTGAGACCTCGGGTCAAGTAAGAGGGGCGAGAAAAGGAAGACGGTGGCTCTTGAGAAGTCTGCTCGAGTCTCCTTGTATTCCCCGGCGCTATTTGATCCAATGTCGTCTGAACTTTACTAGTAAAATTACCTACTTAGTCTTAAACTTGTTGTACCGATATCACTTCAGTTCAAAACAACTGATTTAGTCCTAAATCTTTACACGAAATTTTAATGCAATCCTTCTAGTCAATTTTCGTTGAAATTCGCTAACGTGACGATATGCCACGTGGGAAGTCCAGCAGTGACTGGATCGCCATATCAGCAATTTCCGA